TTTCCAGGAATTTATCCATATCCTCCAGGTTTTCCAGTTTGTCAGTACACAATTGTTCATAAAAGTCTCTGATGATCTTTTTGTATTTTTGCGGTATCAGTTGTAATATTTCTCTTTTCTTTTGAGTCTTCTCTCTCTGTTTCTTGGTTTGTCCAGCTAGTAGTTTATCACTTTTGTTTGTCTTTTTGAAGAACAAACTTTTCACTTTGTTGATAATTTACATGGTTTCTAAAAGTCTTTATTTAGTTGTGCTCTGGTCTTTATTACTTTTTCTGCTAATTTTGGATGTGCTTTGTTGCTTTTCTAGTTCCTTGAGGTTCATTGTTATATTGTTAATTTGTAATGTTTCTACTTTTCTTAAGTAGGTATTTATTGCTATAAACTTCCCTTTTAGCCCTGTTTAGCTGTATCACACAACGTTGGTATGTTGTGTTTCCATTTTCATTTGTTGCAAGAAACTTTCTGATTTCCATCTGAATTTCTCTGTTGACTCAATGATTATTCAGGAGCATGTTGTTTAATTTCCATATATTTGTCTAGTTGCCAAACTTTCCCTTGGTGTACATTTCCAGTATTTTTCCATTGTGGCCAGAGAAGATATTTGATATGATTTCAATTTTTGATTATTTGTTGAGACTTGTTTTGTGGCTTAACATAGGCTCTCTCCTGGAAAATGTTCCACGTGTTCGTGAAAAGAGCGTACATTCTGTAGTGTTAAATAAAGTGCTCTGTAAATATCTGTTATCTTTATTTGGTCTAAAGTTCAGTTTAAATCCAATGTTTCTTTCTTGATTTTCTGTGTAGATGATCAGTCTCATGCTGAGGCTGGGATGTTGAAGTCTCCTCTCTAATTGTATTGCAGTCTATCTCTCTTGTTAGATGTAGTAATTTTACAGGATGCTCTTTGTTAGAAAAGGAAATGATTTCGGGGCTGCATTTCATTTAAAAAAACCTTACAGAGGACTTCCATACCCTCACTATCTGCCGAAATAATTTCTTCTCAACTCCTATATCACTGCCAGACTCTGAGCCAGAAAGAGGTGACACAGAAGCTGGGACTGTGCAGAAAGTATTTTAGTAGAAGTGGTTGAATGGGAGTAGTGATGTCCAGTTTCCAGGTGCAGCAGTGACGTCTCCCCTGGCCTCAGGGTCCAGTGTCCAGCACCAGGTGTCAGAGGTGTGAGCAGTGGCATCTGTGCTCAGCAGCATGGGGCAGTTGTTCCCAGGAGGGACCTGATCCAGGGTGGGCTGTGGATTCTGTTCCTGGATGTGTAGTTTCCACGCTGGTTCTGTAGCCTTCCCTGTAAGGTCAGCCAAAAGAAAGGATGAGAAGGAAACCCAAGGTCAGGCGCGGAAGTTTGTTAACCTGCCGGCTGCTCCACCACAGACAGAGGAGGCAGCACCAAGCTTACAGAATGAGGGGTTTATATTGAGGAGGGGAGTGTGAGGGAGGTCTTTGGGAGGGTTTAGGCACGGTTTGTTTATGCTTCGCTCGACCTCCCCCTGTGCAGTCTGGATGGTTTGTAATTGGGGTTTGCTTATTGCAGGAAAGTGTGATAAGTGAAGTCTGCTGGCTTCACCGCTGCACCTAGATAAGGGCTTAGAAATGTAAAGAGGCTTAGGGGAAGGAGAAGAGTCGCAGAGCATTAGGGGGATGGGTGGGCAGCTCAGAGAGGTTTTGGGGCAGTGTCTGCAGTACCAAGAAGCTTTTTGGGGCAGTTTGTCCCTGACATTCCCCACAATAAAATTAGCCCCCAATACCACGTATACTACTTCATGTGTAAATTAAAGAACTGGTTTCCATAGTTTGCTCCAAGAAGTGAGTGGGAAATGAGTCTGTGGACGAGTGTCAGAGAGCGGCATTCAGGGATGTTCTTTGTGCGAGAGCCACATCCTGAATTGTGTACCTGGCCTCTACCCCATGGTGGAGAGAACAACAGGGAATGTCACATCTCATAACTGATGGTACACATCCTCCCTTTTCTTTCGCAAGAAAAATCCTCTTTTAAACAAGGTTTGAAAACCCTCCCCACCCATCCACCCTGGCCACTCTCTGATCTCTGGTCTCAGTGGTTCCCGATCTGGCTGAGCAACAGGATTGCTGGCGGGGGCTTAGAAAATACGCAGGCCATTTCCCAGAATGTCTGTCTCAGAGTATTACGCACAAGACCAAGGAATCACTTATATAACAAGTGCTACAGGTGAGACTGATGCTCAGGCATGTGGGATCCTGGTGTTCTTGATCTGGAGACCAGCAGCATGAGCTCCAGCCTTGTCATAAATCAAGAATCTCTTGCTCGACTCCAGACTTCCTGGATCTCAGCACCATGTCCAGGTGATCCCCATGGACATGGGCGTTCCTTGTCTAGTGTCCTATAGACATGGGGTCAGAACTGTGCAGTCTGCTCTGGGTGTGGTCTGATCACATCCCTTAGAACTGGAGGTCCAGGGTTCAGTCCTTGCCCTCATTCTTTTCCACAGTCAATCACTCCCTTGGTGCCCTCATTCATGCTTGAGGTTTTTTGTATCGTTTATATGATGTGACCTCCTAAATCTATTTCTCCTGCCCAGTCTATTTCTCCTTTCCCTAAACTCTGGAGTTGTCTGTCCAAATTCCACCCCTGCTCCCCCACCTGCATTCCTAGTAGACATCTCCTCTACTGAGTGCCTGTGATGCCCCCTCCTCAGCATGCTCCTGCCAGAGTCTCCCCATCTCCACTGACAGCAGCTCCATCCTTCTACTCACTCATTTTATAACGATGGGTGTCCTTGATTTGTCTTTCAAATACCACAGATACAATCCATTGTCAAATGCTGTAACTCCATCTTCAAATGCATCCAGAATCCCCTCACATCCCACTATTTCCCCTGCTCACACCCCAGTCAAGGTCACCGACATCTCCAGCCTGGAATACTGTACTCGCTTCCTACTGTTTTTCCTTCTGCCTCCCTCATCCCTCACCTCTCAATTCTGTTCTCAATACAGCAGTCAGAGATCCTTTTAAAAGAGAAGTCATATCATGTCCCGCTTCTGCTCAAAACTGTCCTCTACCTTTCCATCTCACTCAGAGCAGAGGTCAGATGCTTCCCCACTCCCTCCTGGCCCACCTGCTCTGACCACACCTCTGACCTCATCCCAGTTTCTCTCTGTCCGGCCCTCCTGGCCTCCTTGCTCTTCTGGGAACACAGACACCTTCCTGCCCCAGTACATTTGAACCAGAGGATCCTCTGCCTGGAAAGAACTTCTGCAGACACCCTCGTGGGCAACTCCTCATGTCCCTCAACTCTTTCCTCAAAGGTCATCTTTGCAACAAGGCACACAAAGACCACCCAGCACAACAGCCACCTTCCCTGTCCCCACTGCCTACACCCTGGATCACATGCCTCACAGCACTTACCACCTTCTAGCACTTTCTTTCCTTGCTCTGGTTATCGGGTATCCATCGTCTGCGTCTTCCCACTGGAACACATGCTCCACAAGGTCAGAGATTTTTCTCATTTTACTTCAGTGATGTTCCCCAGATGCAGAACCACTCTGTCCTATGTCTGACAGAAAACAAAGGTCAGTTGAATGAATGATCACTGTAGAGCACCTCCCTATTCTAAAGGCAATATCTTTATTATTAACATAGCCTCAGGCCAAATGCTGTTTTGTGGCAGCTATGGCACAAGGTCCCCTCACACTGACACTGAGGCTGCCTGTGCTTTTCTCAACAGTGCTGCTTGTGTGTCCTCCCTCCCCCATCCCTCCTCCCACACCAACCCCCTCTCCCCACCTGCACACTGCAGCACACAATCAGGTTTCTCTCTTCAGGAAAGAACAGTCCTTGATGATGGGTCCAATTTCACAAACAAATATAAATCTAAATTAGATTATGCTTTAGATTCATGAGTTGATATTGGAGCCAGCACCAAGATCACTGGAACGAGGGCAGGGAGAGAGGGCAGGAGATCAGAGCAGAAGAGGAGCCCTAGAAGGAGGGCAGGAGCTGAATGGGTCTGAAAACTTGTTTCAGAAAGCACAGAGACTCCGGTATGCAGGGGCCACCCTGGGTGATGTGTGAGCCTCTGTGGTCACAGTTCTGCTGGACAAGTTTCCACTGAAGGGACAAGAACAATGGAACAGTGAAGGTCACCCAGCTGAGGACTTACCACATAAAGCCCCTGATGGACTGAATAGCAACTGGACACAGGCCCCATCCACACTTGGCTCCTCACAGCCTTCTCCACCCCCACCTGCAACAAACTCAGCACAACTAACACACGGATTCTGGAAGGTTCTCAGGTCTTTATTTCCTCTCTCAAATTCTAGGAATTGACTTATTTAATTAACCCATCAACCTCTCATGGAAAATATTTGAGAAAACAAATTTCTATTCAGATTCTCATTTTCAGTAGGGAAGTAAGAGGTTGCAGCTCAGTGCACCATGAAGTTGAGACAGAGGTGGAGACATTCAGCCCCAACTGTCTGGAACAGGAAGGATGACTGGGGAGGAAACAAAGGTCAGCGTGGGGACACGGGTCACGGTGGACACGGGGGTGGGCAGTCTCTCCACCTCCTCACATTATGCTGACAGGGAGGCAGGCACATTCAGATGCCTTCGCAAAAAGAGATGCCAGAGGCTCTTGAAGTAACAAAGGGGAGATGTGAAGAAATCCTGCATCTCAGTCCCATGTAAGGCAGCTTTCTCAGCCTACAGAAGACAACAGTCATGAACAAATTCAAGTCAGTCAGTCTCTGAAGAGCCCACCACACTCTCAAAATGTCCCAATCAAAGAATTCCCATAACCCAGTCATGTTCCTCTGCCCCATCCCCCACTGACTTCAGACCCCCCAGGGTCTCACCTTTAGAATCCATGAGAGACACATAAGAGCTCTGGGCACTGTTGCTACCTGGGGTAGAACAAAAAGAGGACCTGGTCAGAGCCCACAGGAGATGTGGGACAGGAGGAATTATAGAGTGGATGAGCTCCTCCACACTCCCGCCCCCACCACTTACATGCAGCCTGAGAGTAGCTCCCTCTTTTTCCCCTTGTGGGAACAAAATGTCCTGTGAGGCGACAGGGAGGAGGCAGGGCCATGAGATCTTAGAGGAACCTTCTAGTCTTAAACCCAAGAGAAGTTTCCAGAACTATGACTGCAGACCCAGGGCAGGATAAGCAAACACAAGGAAAGCAGGTGTGGGTCTTGGAACAACTGCCCTCCTAAGGCCTGTCCTTAGCAGGAACCTTCCCCTGACTCGTGAATGCTGGAATCAGGACCCCAACACCATAATCATCAAGGTGATACATTGTCCTTCACTGTCACATGTGCTTCACAAAAGAGTAAGTGCTGGCACACAGGCCCCAGGCTGGGACGGCCCATGTGTGGATGCTGCTTCCCAGTAATGAGGCAGGAAACACTTCTACCAGGGGCTTGAAACCCCCAGTGGGACAAGAAAACCCAGACCCCACCACTCAACCCTTCCCTACCTAAGCTCTTCCTCTTCCACATCACAGCAGCAACCACAGCTCCTAGGACAGCCAGGCCAGCAACGATGCCCACGATGGGGATGGTGGATTGGGAAGACGGCTCTGGGAAAGGAGGGGAAGGTGAGGGGCCCTAACCCCCAGGCCTGAGCCCTGACCCTGCTAAAGGGCTCCAGAAGGGTTCCTGCTTTCTCTGAAAGACATATGACCCCCAAAATCCCCCTCCTTACCCCATCTCAAGGTGAGGGGCTCCAGCAGCCCCTTGTGCTGCACATGGCACGTGTATCTCTGCTCTTCTCCAGAAGGCACCACCACAGCTGCCCACTTCTGGAAGGTTCCATCCCCTGCTGGCCTGGTCTCCACAAGCTCAGTGTCCTGAGTTTGCTCCTCCCCATCCCGCTGCCAGGTCAGTGTGATCTCCGCAGGGTAGAAGCCCAGGGCCCAGCACCTCAGGGTGGCCTCATGGTCAGAGACGGGGTGGTGGGCCACATGTGTCTTTGGGGGATCTGATGGGAAAGTCAGAAAATTCAGGCGCTTTGCATCTCTCATGGGACACCCCAGCAGCACCCATGTAACCATCCTGAGAATGGACAGGAAACCTGGGGTGGGGAAGGGAGCACAGAAGCCAGACACCAGCCTGGACACAGGTACCTGGGATAATCTCCTATTCCTTGGAAAGTTCTAGTCTCTGAGGGGGGAACAACGATTTCTGGTTCTGACCTGAGTGGAACCCGAGGGACTGAGAAAAGCTGGAATCAGACCTTCAAACACATCGAGTGTGAGGCAGAGAACAAGGCCTGAGAGAAAAAGTCACGGGGCCCAAGGCTGCTGCAGGGGTCAAAAGCGTATTTCCTCAGAGATTTCATGCCTTAATTGTCCTAGACAGCAGAGGGGACCCTCAGAGGAAACTCTGGAAAACTCATGCCATTCTCCATTCAAGGGAGGGCGACATTCTAGCGCTGATCCCATTTTCCTCCCCTCCTCCTAGGAGGCCATCCCGGGAAATCTATAGGAGATGTGGAAGACTCCCCACTGCCTCTGGTACCCGCGTGCTGCAGCGTCTCCTTCCCGTTCTCCAGGTATCTACGGAGCCACTCCAGGCACTCGCCCTCCAAGTAGGCTCTCAGCTTCTCCGCCGCACGGGCCGCCTCCCACTTGCGCTGCGTTATCTGAGCCGTCGTGTCTGCGGCGGTCCAGGAGCGCAGGTCCTCGTTCAGGGCGATGTAATCCCTGCCGTCGTAGGCGAACTGCCGGTACCCGCGGAGGAGGCGCCCGTCGGGCCCAAGGTCGCAGCCGTACATCCACTGGAAGGTGTGAGACCCTGGCCCCGCCCCTGCGGTCAGGCCTCCCCACCGATTCCCGTCCCCGCCCCGACCAACCTTCGGAGATTGTGGCCTAAGCTGAAAATGAAACCGGGTAAAGGCGCCTGGGGCTCTCCTGGATCCTGGGTCTGGGCGGGTCCCGTAGCCTCGGGGTGGATCTCAGACCCAAAGACTCCGGGGAACTCGGGCCGTCCGTGGGGGATGGGGAGAGGTCCTGACCCGCGCCCCAGGCCGGTGTCACTCACCTGCCTCGCTCTGGTTGTAGTAGCGGAGCAGGTTCCTCAAGTCCCCTCGGAAAGTCTCTGCGTTGACCTTGGCGTTCCGTGTGTTCCGGTCCCAATACTCCGGCCCCTCCTGCTCCATCCACGGCGCCCGCGGCTCCATCCTCGGACTCGCCGCGTCGCTGTCGAACCGCACGAACTGCGTGTCGTCCACGTAGCCGACTTCGAGGTACCAGGGCTCCCCGCGGCCGGGCCGGGAGACAGCGGTGCTGAAATACCTCAAGGAGTGGGAGCCTGGGGGCGAGGAGAGGCTGAGGCCCCCCACCGACCCTCCTCCCGGCGCGGCTCCCCGCGTCCTGCGCCCCAGCCGGGCGGTTGGTCCCCTCCTCCTCCCTGCAGAGGCTGTTTCCCTCCCGACCCCGCACTCACCCACCCAGGTCTCGGTCAGGGCCAGGGCCCCCGAGAGCAGCAGGAGGAGGGTTCGGGGCACCATGACCGCATCTTTGGCTTCTGGGGAGAATCTGAGTCCCAGTGGTTGACTGAGGACTTTAGAACCAGGACCGGGACGACACTGATTGGCGTCTCTAGAAACCCGACAGCCAGTGGGAGTGGCAACTGGGGACGTGTCCTGATTATCCTGGAAGAAGGACACAGGTTGGGAAAAGAAGTTAAACTCAGAGGAGTAGAGAATCCTCAACGCTGCGCCTCCCCAATCCAGACCCGGCCCTGGGAGCCTGAGACCCTGAGAGCCACGCCCAGGACCTGGGACTTTGTCCTGATCCTTCTTCTCCTACACCAAGCCTCTTTGTCACACTGTCTGCCTAATTCCTGGCCAAGGATCTGTCTATGGAAAACAGGAAGAGACCGCCAGGCTGCGCCCAGATCCTTCCCCTTCACTGCTCGTCCTGGAATCCCCGTCCCTGAACTGGACTTCCTGCCTCCCTCTCCTACCTCTCCCCTTGGACCTTTGTACAGGAAAACTCACCACGGGGAACTTGATGCCAGAAAGAGCTTGCCCTGGGAATGGAGGTGTAGAGACAGGGGTTTTCTCTCTCAACCTGGTGAAGTTTTGTCTGAAGGCACCACATAGAGATTCTCATAGAGACTAGTTTCCTTTTTGTTTATTAATACAGTAGGTAGCACAATATTGGTAATCCCTGAATGATTAGAATTCCAATGTGTAAAAGACCTGTGTCAAAACAGCATTACAATTAAACTCTCAAAGCTCCTGTTTTACTTTCCCAGACTGTGGATCTGTGACTCTGGGTTGCTGAATTTAAAATTATCTTCCTTCTCTAGTCCGAGTTTCCCTGTATGAGTCCAGAACTTCTCCTGAATACAAAGAAGCAGGGTTTGTTACTGTCTATTGCGACCGGGAGCCTGTAGTCATCACCCCAAAGCTGCAAGTGCTCCATGCAGACCCAGTGCTCTTCAAGGACGCTCAAGCACTGCCTGTTTTCCAGAACTATGCACATCTAGGCAGTGTGTATATTTTATTGGGACACTGGGTATTTTTGTAACCCTTTTTTAAAAAAATCATTAGGAGGCCACTTGCCAGGCCTCTGAGCCCAAGCCTGCACGTATTCATCCAGATGGCCTGAAGTAAGTGAAGAGTCACAAGGGAAGTGAAAATGACCAGTTCTTGCCTTAACTGATGACATTGCCTTGTGGAGTTCCTTCTCCTGGCACATCCTGGCTCAAAGACTCCCCCACTGAGCACCTTGTGACCCCCACCCCTGCCGGCCAGAGAACAACCCCCTTTGACTGTAATTTTCCACTACCTACCCAAATCCTATAAAACAGCCCCACCCCATCTGCTTTCGCTGACTGTCTTTTCAGACTCAGTCTGCCTGCACCCAGTTGATCAAAAAGCTTTATTGCTCACACAAAGCCTGTTTGGTGGTCTCTTCACAGGGACGCACGTGAAATTTAGTGCCATGACTCGGATCGGGGGACCTCCCTTGGGAGATCAATCCCCTGTCCTCCTGCCCTTTGCTCCGTGAGAAAGATCCACCTACGACCTCAGGTCCTCAGACCAAGCAGCCCAAGGAACATCTCACCAATTTTAAATCCGGTAAGTGGCCTCTTTTTACTCTCTTCTCCATCCTCTCACACTATCCCTGAGTCTCTTTCTCCTATCAATCTTAGGGCCATCTTTCAATCTCTCCCTTCTCTTAATTTCAGTTCCTTTCCTTTTCTGGTAGAGACAGAGGAGATGTGTTTTATCCCTGAACCCAAAACTCTGGCGCTGGTCACAGACTCGGGAAGACAGTTTTCCCTTGGTGTTTAATCACTGCAGGGACGCCTGCATGATTATTCACCCATGTTTCAGAGGTGTCGGATCACCATGGGAACACCTGCCTTGATCCTTCACCCTTAGTGGCAAGCACCACTTTTGGGGGGGGCAAGCACCCCCTGCCCATTCTCTCCCTGTCTCTACCCTCTCTTTTCTCTCCACTTTCTAGGGGGACAAGCACCCCCCATCCCTTTTCCACTTTCCTGGGGGGCAAGCACCCCCCAGCCCTTCTCTCCATGTCTCTACCCACCCCTTCGCTCCGTGTCTCTACCCTCTCTTTTCTCTGGGCTTGCGTCCTTCACTATGGGCAACCTTCCACCCTCCATTCCTCCCTCTTCTCCGTTAGCCTGTGTTCTCAAAAACTTAAAACCTCTTCAACTCACATCTGAACGCCTTATTTTCTAAAACCTGAATGTCTTATTTTCTTCTGCAACACTGCTTGGCCCCAATACAAACTAGATAATGGCTCCAAATGGACAGAAAACGACACTTTCCATTTCTCCATCCTATGAGACCTAGATAATTTTTGTCGAAAAATGGGCAAGTGGTTTGAGGTGCCTTACATCCAGGCATTTTTCACACTTCGTTCCCTCCCTGTTCTCTGTTCCCATTGCGATTCTGCCCAAATCCTCCTCCTTTCCCTCTCGCCTGTCCCCTCAGTCCCAACCTCAAGCGTCGCTGAGTCTTTCCAATCTTCCTTTTCTAAAGACCCATCTGACCTCTCCCCTCCTCCCCAGGCTGCTCCTCTCCAGGCTGAGCCAGGTCCCAATTCTTCCTCAGCCTCCACTCCTCCACCCTATAATCCTTCTATCACCCCCGCTCCCCACACCCGATCCAGCTTACAGTTTGGTTCCACGACTAGCTCTTTCCCACCTGCCCAAAAATTTCCTCTTAGAGAGGTGGCTGGAGCTGAAGGCATAGTCAGGGTACATGTGCCTTTTTCTCTATCAGACCTCTCTCAGATCTGTCAGCGTTTAGGCTTTTTCTCATCAGGACCCACTAAATATGTATAGGAATTCCTATGTCTTACTCTGTCCTACAATTTAACCTGGAGTGACTTAAATGTCATCTTAACTTCTACCCTCTCCCCAGATGAATGGGAAAGAGTTTTTTCTCTGGCCCAGCACGTGACAACTGCCGACTCCACAAGCCAGACCTCCAGGAAGGCATTAGAGCAGCTCCCCGAGAGGATCCCCAGTGGAACTATCAGGCAGATTCCCCAAGTATAGCGAGGCGAGATTACACGATTTATTGCCTAGTTGAAGGGCTTAAAAAGGCAGCTTACAAAGCTGTTAATTATGAGAAGCTTAAAGAAACTAACCAAGGTAAAGACAAAAACCCAGCCCAGCTCATGGCTCATTTCACAGCAGATGCTTGAAATGAGATGCTTGACAGTCCTAGACCCTGAAGGGTCAGAAGGCCGTCTCATTCTAAATATGCCTTTTATCACCCAGTCAACTCCTGACATTAGAAAAAAGCTTCAAAAATTAGAATCCAGCCTTCAAACCCCACAACAGGAATTAATCAACCTCACCTTCAAGGTGTACAATAATAGAGAGGAGGCAGCCAGACAGCAACACATTTCTGAGTCACAATTAGTTGCCTCTGCTGTGAGACAAAACCCAGCCGTACCTCCAGCACATAAGAACTTCAAAATGCCTAAGCTGAACACTGCTAAGCCGCAGCAGTCAAGCATTCCTACAGGACCTTCTTCATCAGGATCTTGCTTCAAGTGCCAGAAATATGGCCACTGGGCCAAGGAATGCCCACAGCCCAGGATTCCTCCCAAGCCATGTCCCATCTGTGCAGGGACCCACTGGAAATCAGACGGCCCAGCTCGCCTGGCAGCCACTCCTAGAGCCCCTAAAGCTCTACCCCAGGGCTCTCTGACTGACTCCTTCCCAGATCTGCTTGGCTTAGCGGCTGAAGATTGATGCTGCCTGATTGCCTTGGAAGCCCCCTGGACCATCACGGATGCTGAGCTTCGGGTAACTCTCATAGTGAAAGGTAAGTCCATCCCCTGCTTAATCGATACGGAGGCTACCCACTCCACATTACCTTCTTTTCAAGGGCCTGTTTCCCTTGCCTCCATAACTGTTGTGGGTATTGACGGCCAGGCTTCTAAACCTCTTAAAACTCCCCAACTCTGGTGCCAATTTGGACAATATTCTTTTATGCACTCCTTTTCAGTTATCCCCACCTACCCAGTTCCCTTATTAGGTCTAGGCATTTTAACTAAATTATCTGCTTCCCCAACTATTCCTAGGCTACAGCCACACCTCACTGCCGCCCTTTCCCCCAGTTCAAAACCTCCTTCACACCCTCCCCTTGTATCGCCCCACCTTAATCCACAAGTATAGGACACCTCTACTCCCTCCTTGGTGACTAATCATGCACCCCTTACCATCCCATTAAAACCTAATCACCCTTACCCGGCTCAACACCAGTATCCCATCCCACAGCACACTTTAAAAGGATTAAAGCCTGTTATCACTTGCCTGTTACAGCATGGCCTTTTAAAACTTATAAACTCTCCTTACAATTCCCCCATTTTACCTGTCCAAAAACCAGACAAGCCTTACAGGTTAGTTCAGGATCTGCACCTTATCAACCAAAGTGTCTTGCCTATCCACCCCGTGATGCCAAAGCCGTATACTCTCCTATCCTCAATACCTCCCTCCACAACCCCTCCATAACCCATTATTCTGTTCTGGATCTCAAACATGTTTTCTTTACTATTCCTTTGCACCCTTTATCCCAGCCTCTCTTCACTTTCACTTGGACTGATCCTGACACCCATCAGCCTCAGCAACTTACCTGGGCTGTACTACCACGAGACTTCACAGACAGCCCCCATTACTCCAGTCAAACCCAAATTTCTTCCTCATCCATTATCTATCTTGGCATAATTCTTCATAAAAACACATGTGCTGTCCCTGCCAATCATGTCCAACTGATCTCTCAAACCCCAACCCCTTCTACAAAACAACTCCTTTCCTTCCTGGGCGTGGTTGGATACTTTCACCTTTGGATAGCTGGTTTTGCCATCCTAACAAAACCATTATGTAAACTCACAAAAGGAAACCTAACTGAGCCCATAGATCCTAAATCCTTTCCCCACTCCTCTTTCCGTTCCTTGAAGACAGCTGTAGAGACTGCTCCCACACTAGCTCTCCCTGATTCATCCCAGCCCTTTTCATTACACACAGCTGAAGTACAGGGCTCTGCAGTCAGAATTCTTACACAAGAACCAGGACTGCGCCCTGTAGCCTTTTTGTTCA